ATATATTTGTATTGATGTAACTTCATTGTCTACGGTACCTTTCAGCAAGATATAGTTTCCTTCATTATCTCTTTTAATTAGATTTTTGCTTTTGCTTTGTCTGAGATCATGATTGGTAACCTGATTTCTTTGCTTAAGCTGAAGCATAATATTCTGCTCCAGCCCCTTACCTTTATCCTGTGTGTATCTTTGTTTCAAATGTGTTTCTTGTAAACAACATATTGCAGGACTCTAGTTTTTAAGCCATTCTGCTATCTACTTCCATTTTATGAGTGATTTCATCCCATTCACATTTATACTTAAAAGTAACTGTGTATTTCCCTTCTTGCTATTTTCCCCGTGTTTATTCCCCCTCTGTCTTACCCCCAACCCGTTCCCTCCTCATAAGTGTTTTACTTCTGATCACCACCTTCCCCAATCTACCCTCCCTTATATCAGTCCCACTCTCCCTTCTATTATCCCTGTCCCTTTTTACTTCCTAATAGGGTGAGAGATTTCTGCATGAAATGGAGCCAATTTTGATAAAAGTAAAGTTAAAGTTTGCCTGCCACCCATCCATCTTCCCCTCCATTATAATAGCTCTTTTTATGCCTCTTTTATGTGGGGTAATTTACCCCATTCAATCTCCCCCCTCCTTCTTCTTCCATTGCTATTTTCTCTCTCACCCCTTTACTTTTTGGGTGGGTGTCATCTCATCAAACTGACCTTATTTCCTCATCCTATGTCTACATGTACTTCTGATTGCTCTTCAAGTAATGAAGTTCTTGTTTTTATTTTTATTTTTAAATTTGGCAATTGGGGTTAAGTGACTTGCCCAGGGTCACACAGCTAGTAAGTATTAAGTGTTTGGTCTGAGGCCGGATTTGAACTCAGGTCCTCCAGACTTCAGGGCCAATTGCTCTATCCACTGTGCCACCTAGCTGCCCTAAATAATAAAGTTCTTAAGAGTTACAAATATTATCTTGCCATATAGAAATATAACAGTTTAACCTTATTGAATTTCTTATGTTTTCTCTTTCTTGTTTCTGTTTTTACCTTTTTATGTTTCCCTTGAGTCTTGTATTTGGAAGTCAAAGGTAAGCTGATTCCCTGCTCCTTAGATAAATTCCAAGGCACTTTTCTAGTTGTTTGGACAGGAATTTGGAAGGGCTGCAGAGGGTTCCTTCCTCACTCTGCCATCTTGACACTGGAAAAAAAATTTTTTTTGCTTCAATTTCTTCATTTGAAAACTGCCTATTCATATCCTTTGACCATTTATCAATTGGGAAATGACTTGTATTTTTATAAATTTGACTCATTTCTCTCTATATTTGAGGAATGAAGCCTTTATCAGAGATACTTGCTGTAAATTTCCACCCCTCCACCCAGTTTCCTGCTTTTTTCCCCCCGATTTTGGTTGTATTGATTTTGTTTGTGCAAAAACTTCTAAACTTTAAGTATAATCAAAACATTCATTATACGCTTCATAATGCTCTATCTTATTTGGTCCTAAATTATTTACTTATCCATAGATCTGATGACAAGCTGTTCCATGCTCTCCTAATTTGCTTATGGTATCATCCTTTCTGTGTAAATCATGTACCTACTTTGATCTTATCTTGGTATATGGTGTAAGATGCTAGTGTATACCTAGTTTCTGCCATACTCTTTTCCAGTTTCCCCAGTAGTTTTTGTCAGATAATGAGTTTTTATCTCGAAAGCTAGAGTGTTTGGGTTTATCAAACACTAGATTCTTATGGTCATTTACTACAATGTATTGTGTACCTAATGTATTCCATTGGTCCACCATTCTGTTACTTAGCCAGTACCAGATTGTAGTGATAATTACCACTTCATAATAATGTTTGAAATCTGGTATGGTTAGACCACCTTACTCTTTCAACTTTCTAACCAGTCCACTTAAATGAGAAGGGGCTCTTTGCTGTTAGGGTGGCCACTTAGTGATGTTTTATTTGGCCTTGGCAACCAATCAAGCAAAGAAAAATAGAGAAGGCCCTCAGTCCTTTGCAGCCCCTTTTCCTACCTGAAGGGATAAGGTCTAAGTAGTTAAAAAAGGGAACAGATGGCATTAAAGATCACTCAATTCTGTACTGTCTACAATCAGTATAGAAACTACAAACTCATTTGACTCTTGGTATTCTTCAGGTGAGTCCCTTATCCAGAGACTGGTTCCAGAGACTTAACTACTACTTAACTTAGACTAGTTAACTAGATCTAACTGCTAGTTAAGTCAGATCATATGTACTTTGATATTCTTTCTCTTAAAGGGAATCAATCAAGCAATCAACATTCAAGGAAGTTAGCTTTGACCTGAAAGAGTTGGTTTTGTAATTCATCAAAAAGCCACACATAAGTAAGTTTTCATAGAATACTTTGTCATATTGTGTTCAGTCAATAAGTATTCTTTTTAAAAAAATTCCACCTTGAAGATAATTGGAGTCTACAAGTCAACATTTATTACGGAGTATAAAAAGGTAGTCAAGTGGTACAGTGGATAGAATGCTCGACCTAGAGACAGGAAGACTTATCTTTGTGAGTTCAAATGAAGCCTCAGGTACTTACCAGCTGTGTGACCTTGGGCAAGTCACTTAACCTTATTTGCCTCAGTTCCTCATTTGTAAAATGAGTTAGAGAAGGAAAATTGCAAACCACTTCAATATCTTTGCCAGGAAAACCTCAACTGGGTCATGAAGAGTCAGGCATGACTGAAAAATGACTGAACATAAAAAGGTAGAGAAATTCTACAAAGAGCTTGATGAAACTCTCCAAATTCAGTCAACGTGTGCTTAGTGACATCAGCACAAAAGAAGAAGAGCGTGGAGAAAACTATGTTGGAAAATGTGATTCTAGTGTAGGAAATGAGAGAGATCAAAGGCTTGTAGACTGAACAGAAGACCCAAGCTTATGCCTCGTGGACAGATGGTCTCTTGGTCCCAGACATTGCGAGCACTAAATAGCATCACAAAACACTGAATTAATTAGTTTTAACAAATTGTGATAATGAAATAGTGTTTTTGAAGGAGTAAAGTAGCCAGCCTCCCTAAGGGCAAAGGAGAGATGCATGGTGGGTATGAGTACTTGACAGTACATTACTAATTAGGGGTATACAGGAGAAGTCAAGTGAGAGATGTCATTACAGAGACATTTGTCCAGACCGACCTTCATTCTCAATTTACACATGCGTGAAACACCCAGGATTCCAGAGCAATCATGCTAGCATTTTAGGTTGGCTCCCCCATCATCAGTTTATGACAGGACATGGCCTGTATTTGTACAGAATGAGAAGGTGGGGTTGGGTTGCAATGTGCATGGTGGGAGGGAGTTACAGAATGAAAATTACAGATCCATTTAAGTTTCGAAATACAACTGGGGAATCAGCACTTCCAGATGAGATGGCCCTGATCTCTTTGCAATAGTCTGCTTCAGTGGGAAGAGCAGTGAACTTGGAGTTAGGAGTTATTCTGAGTTTGAATGTTGACTCTGTTACTATAGTTTTTAATTAATTTCACCACTCTGGGACTAACTCACAGGGTACTCATAAGGAAAACATTTTATCTACTGTAATGAATTATTAAAATGTGAATCATTATATGCTATGAAGCTATTCTAGTATATAATAATAATTGAGTTCAAATTTAGACACGTGGAATTGCAGATGTCTTCAAGACATCCAATGTGAAATGTCCAATAGGGGATTGATGATCTGGGATTGAAGCTCTGAGGAGATATATAAATGTGTATACACAAATGTACACACACACATGGGAAGGGTGGAAGGGAATAAGCACTACTATGCGCTGCATACTGTGATGAGCTCTTACCAAATATTATCTACTTTATATGTATAATATACATATGTATGTATATATGAGTGTATCTATCTCTATATGTCTATCTATCTGTCATCTTCCTGTCTGTCTGTGTATCTATCCATCCATCCATCCATCCATCTATCCGTCTATCCGTCTATCTGTCTATCCGTCCATCTGTCCATCCGTCTCTCTGTCTATCTGTCCATCCGTCTGTCCGTCCATCCGTCTATCCGTCTATCCGTCCATCCGTCTATCCGTCCATCCATCCATCCATCCATCCATCCATCCATCCATCCATCCATCC